GAAACATCAATGATGAGAGAGTCATTGATGGGCTGCCTCCTGCACGCCCCCGACTGGGGATTGAGCCCACAACCTGGGCATGTGCCCTGACCGGGAATCCAACCCCGATCGCCTGGATCCCAGGTCGACGCTCAACGGCTAAGCCATGCCCGGCCGGGCAAGTACACTGATATTTTGTAATGACTGCAGGAAAAAAATGTAAGCTGTTTGGGAAGGCTGTCATTAGATTTGGAAAAAGGACAATAAGAACATTACCTAAGGAATCTTTGAAAAAACCATAACAAATAAAAAGCATCAATAAGACCTAATATTTATAAAGCCTACTGCAATCTGCTTTTAGATATTTTACTTACATGACCCTGGTAACAGATTAAAATCACCTCCATTTTTAGATGAGGACATTAGTATACGAAGCTACTTTTTCCATATCTCACTCCATGGCTACCTCAAAAATACACACTAGTGCAGCACATGCTTTAAGAACCACTACGCCCAACCACTCCTTTCATTTTAAAGATCTGGTCCAACTTAGATCTCATACACTTTCCTTCTTTCCTTCGCCCCATTTTCCCTTTGCCTAAGTGTTTTGTGTGCTGTGTGTATGTGTGTGTGTATTTTAAGTCCAATAAATAGTGTGGGGAGGAAGGGGACAAGAGCTAACACAGAAAAGTCACAGCAGGTCTCCATGGCAGACACAGTCACCCTTTAAGAATCTGATGAAAGCAAAGAAATTTTTCTGCAGGAAAATACAAATACACAGAAAATCATACATTTGATTTAAGGTTTTTTTTCTGTATTTTAAAAAAAAATTGTTTATTTTTTAATAAATTAAGAATATTACAATGTTCTGTTGAGAGGAAGGAGGCCTAATTTTTCTACTCTAGTGATCTAGTAAGAAAGCGTCTGATTTTTCCACCATAACAAGAGGGTTATTTAAGAAGATCCTACACTTGGCCACATCTATTTTTCTTACCTTTATGAGAGGAGTCTGATTTTGAGAAATGACGTGTAGGATAAGTGTAATCCAAATCCTCAGCATCTGTCACGGTAGGTGGTGGCGGCCTGGAGGGAAGTCTGAATTTAGAGATACTCTAAGCAGTGATGACTGTAATTCTACTGCTCAATGGGTCATGTGGTAAAAACATTTCTGGTACAAATGCAAAGTCAGAATGTTTCAGAATTCTCATTTTAGTTCCTGGCCAGTTGCATGACATTGGATAAATTATTCTATCTTACCGTTCCTTTGTTCTGACACATAATAGTTCAATAAAAACACGTATTTTTGAACACCCAGTATGTATGAGTCGCCGTGCTGAGGACTAGAGAAACAGACTCACGAGATGTGACCACTATCACTGATGAGAAACTTACTTTGCTTTGGTAGATTTTAAGAAGAAAAAGAGGAAGAAAGAAAAGAATAGAAATGAAGAAAGCAATGAAGAAAGTTAAGGAAGGAAGATGGAAAAGGGGAGGGATGGAGGGTAGCAGGTAAGGGGGGAGGGAGAGAGGGAGAGAGGAGACGCTGCTCAGCATATAAAATGTACTGCAAAGCTCCTTACTCCACCAGGTGGCAAAGGAGAGCTTCGAGAAGGAAACAGCAGTCACACACTGGAAACCTTTTAAGTCAAAAAAAACACTGTAAAAAACACTGGGCAATTTTTACTATAAACTTTATATTATTTTAATCATGTAACACAGATTTTTGTAAACATTTGGCTTTAATGAAGATGCAGAATAAAATCTTCCCTTTTTGTCGTCTCCCATCAGTGTACTCAAATGTGGTATTAAAGCACAGAACCACATGAGGCTAAGATTTGTCAATATATAACCACGTTGGAGGATGTTCAGTGTGATTAATACACAGTCTGGAAGGAATGCACAGTCTGAAGTTTGGGACGTTATAGTTAGGTACAGTGAGCTCTGGCATATAAAAATTAAGGCACGTGTTGTCAAATTTCTCACCCTGTCCCAAGAAGTAGGCCTCTCCCGGGTATTTAGTACCCGGAAGAGGTCAGCATGCGATGTGAATGTGTATATACAGTAAGGACTACACCACAGGTTCTACATAAATATACCTCAATTAACTTTTAAGCTAAGCCTGCATGGTAACCATCACACACATATTTTAGAGTCAGATTAGGTAAAATGAGGTAAGTGACCTGTCCATGTTCGCACAGTTGTTAAGTGGCGGAGCCAGGGCTCAAACTCAAATGGACTTCAAAAGCAATGCTCTTAATTAATATACTATATGCTCTGCTACATAGGTGTGCATTACTATCAGTGGCAGCATCTTCACTGAAAAGTACACATAAGAGAAAAATAAAACGGCAAGAAGCATTACCAGTATAAAATCTTATAGTTAAAAAGAATTTGGAACTTGGCTTAAAACTTTTTCCAATTACAAAGAGGTAGACTTAATTTAGATTGCCTATTTGTTCTCTATTCCTTTAGAAAGAGTAGAAAATCCCATAATAGACAAAGAAATTGATTTTTGACCACAAATGCTACAAGCTCTATTTGAGAACTCGTATCCCCTCTACCACTACTATTACTAAACTGAAAAAAACATCCTGGCCTAGACAGATACAGGTTTTTCAATCCATGAAATCGTTTCTTTCTATACAAATGGCTAAACTTTCCTACCATGATTAATTTTTTTAATCCACACCTGAGGACATGTTTTTACTGATTTTAGAGACAGGAAGAGAGAGAGTGGGAGAGAGGGAAGGGGGGAGGGAGGAGAGAGAGAGACAGACAGACATCGATCAGTTGCTTCCTGTATGTGCCCCACCCCCAGGATCAAACCCAAAACCTTCTAGTGTACGGAGGATACTCAAACCAACTGACACCCAGTCAGGGATACGATGATTAATTTTAAAAGAGGAATACATATATTCTAACCAGAAAGCTTATATTCTGATAGCTGTAAGATAATAGGCTTTAATTTTTAAGTATGAACATTTAGGTTACATAAAATTCTACATTTCTATTTTCTCATATGTAGTCTTTCTGTAAATGATATTTAAAGACAAATGTTCCTCTCAGGTAAAAAAAGACTTCAACTGACCTAGACTTCAGTTCCAGTAGTCATAGGTCACTTTTCACCTATTTATAATTGCCATTTTTAATACAGAATCATTTGACTATTTATTCTTGCTATATGCCAAATATTTTTAAGAGTTCCTATTACATTCCAAAAACTTGTTTTCAACTGTAATAAACCTTTTTAAATAGCCATTCCTGATTGTTTTACTTTACCTGTTGTAAAGTTATTAGTGTTCTAAAGAGCCCATGGACTTTGAAGATGACAAAATAACCCTAAAAATTTTAATTCACTTGACTAAAAAGAGCATAACAAGCCACAGCTATTTACCTACTGAGAACAGATTAGTTGTTATTTTACTTGGAAATTGCAGGAATGTAAATAAACCTAAACTACGCAGTACTAAAATTTGCTTTAAAAACTGTTTGGCACGTGCTTAAATAAAAGCCACAAGAAAAATTTATTTTACACAATTAGACAAACTATACAACTGTTGCACTAAGAGCTTTACAAACCTGATATAATTTTCTAAAGGGTATTTATCTTCTGAAATCCCATGAGTTTAAAGGACACTAAATACATTCTCTTTAAGGAAACAAGCTGAGCAGCATAAGTGTGGGCAATAAGGGGCAACAAGCATGTATGTTTTCAGTGTAATAAATCTTACGTTTTAAGAATTAATATATATATATTATTAAAAATCAGGACCAAAATTCAAGGTTCTAATAATTTAGAATTTTCAAAATATCACATTTAGTGTTATTTTTGTCTTTTTCTATTTAATGTTCTCTCCTCCTACTCCAATCATATTGTCTTTTGAAAAGCAACAGAAAGCAATGACGAAGAAAAAAAGGTTGCTTCCCCCAGAGACCTAAAGATTGACAACTTGAGGAGGAAAGACAGCAGTCGCTCCATTACTATGACCTAGGACTGCTTGAGAGGAGTCAGAAGTACAGACACCACAACCATAGTGATTCGATCTGGTGGGATACAGGACAGTCTGCAGTGACTCAATGAATATTTGCCTAGGACATGGACACTCGCGCAGAAATGCGTTGAAGTATGTGTGTCAGGCACACACCAGTGTGATCATGAACCTCAGTAAAATATTAAAACCTGAGGTTTTACTCAGGAAAAAGTTTAACCTTGTGTCTTCTTAGCCGAGGGCATCAGTTCAGTGAATAAAGAGACGAGAACTGGTCCTAACAAAAAGCACATCCTTCCCACCTATACCCAGCTTCCATGAAATTTCCCATCTTTCTGATTTGACTTTTTCAACCCAATTTAAGACTGGAATCAAGTGTGAGAATACCCCGCAAGACATGATGCCACCTGGCAATGGCAGATGTCTGGATCTCCTCTCCAAAGAAGGAACGGTCTTCTCAGGCAGCACCATCTCCCCACTCACCGCAAAGTCAGGTTCCCTCTCCGCTGCGGGTATCCACTTACCGTGCTGGCCTGTCACTCTTAGGACGGTGAGGTTCATCACTGTCTTTTGACTTTGAGTGTGCCGACTTAGGTGTTTTGGGCTATAACAGAAAGAAAGAAAAAAAAAAAGCAAAACACATACAGAAAACAGCAAAGAAAGAAAGAAAAATATTAGGTTTAGGAAAAGGTTAGGTTTAGAAAATACCTAACTCATGTCAAAATACTCTCCTTTAAAAATTTCAGGTTACTTGCATTCAGTTGAAGAACATGAGATATTTTTAAATACATCATCTCAGAGATTTAAAAAAAATTATAGTCACAAAGGTATGTTGGAGGCTCTCAGTGCAGTCAGATGAGTGGGCTGAACACACGTGAACACGCTCCCCATGGGAGTGCCTGGCCACCTATTATTAACATCATAGCTGCACAGCAGCTAACAAGACTGATGGGCTCCCAGAGTATACGGAATCTAGTTTTGTGCTCTCAACCCTATTTCTGAATACCTGACTTAAGGATGGTGATTTTCAAGCCAGAAAACAAAGGCCCATTTCATGGCATTTTTTCTAGAAGGACTGTACAAGCACCAGTGAAAGAAGGTAGACAACACAGAAGTTCTGATACTTGATAGAGTTGTGGCCTGCCTCTTACTTTCCTGATCTGTAATCCTTAAAAATATCTATTCCTTCATAGTCGTGTTAACAGAGACATAGAGTAAGTAACTCCTGGGCAATTATTTGTGGCTTAATTAATGGAGAAGCATTTGGGAAGCTTTCCACTAAAAATGAAATAGGTTAGAAAAAATCTTGAATTACAAAGAGTGTAAAAAAGAAGGTGATAAATATAATTAACATGGAAATAATCCTTCCGTTTGCTTTTAGACTGACAACTATAACTGAGCAACAGAAAACAGAGCAATACTATTACCATGGTTTCTCTATCTTCTTTCCTTATAGCCAAGAATGAGACAGGAATGGGGACCCAGGGGAGGAGTTTGTTAGACAGAACAGGTGGATACATGCCCTCGTTGCATCCTTCCGGTCCAGTACAAACCCCCCCCTAGAAAGACTGTGCTGCATGAACCTCCCTCCTCCGCTGCTTTTTCATTGTGCTTCCATCAGTCAGCCTGACCTTGCGTTTGCTACTGTCTGCAGTCTGTCTTCCCGTCCACATTCTACATTACCAGGAGAAAACATATGCCTTTGTCTTTCCCTATTAAGTCCTGAGGGATGCTTTGCCCACAATAACTAATTTGTAAAGTCTGTTAAATTGAATTTGCAACTGCCATATACAACAATTAGATTACTTTATAGTAGAATGAACTGAGGTCACTGGCTATTTTGTCTCCTAGTTCTATATTTATAAGGGCTTGAAGGTAACAGCTTAAGCTCATGCGAGACAGTTCTTGCACTCTGACAGAAGCAGTGACTGCCAACAGGATCTATCGGCCTGACATGGATCAAGTGATGTCAGAGAAAGAGAAACAATGAGTACACAACCAGGGATGAAGCACAGTCTGAGTACACAGGAAAAACACAGAGAGGGAGGAAAGGCCACTGTGGAAACATGAAAGCATGTGAAAATGCTCTTCTCCTGTAATGAAAGGTAAGTGTGGTAAAACCAAGATTGCTCATGACCAGAGGACACCCACACTTGGGTAGGTCCTAAAATGAATGAAATGAGTTTTTCAATCTTAGCAGCAACTTTTTAAATAGTTACTTTCAAGAACTTACTGGGAATTTTTATAGGGAAGCAACCTTTACAAGCCAGACTCACATATGATGCACATAATCTGTATACCCTAAACCTATCTGCAGAGCTTACCCTAAAAGCAGAGTCCCCTTTACATGTCTAATTTTACTTCTCATTAAAAAACTAAAAAGCAAACAAACAAAAAACAGGCCCTACCTTCCAATCGGGGTCATGCTTTCTTTTGTCCAATGACGATTTCTCCCGCTCCTTGGCTTTCTTGTAAGCTTTCTTTTCTTCAGCCATTAGAAGTCTAGCAATTTCCTAAACAAACCCAGTCCATATTATCATTGATTACAGACTTGCAGGTAGAAGATTACTGTGATATTTCCAAAGAATATTGGCTAAACAAAGTCATTAACTAACATGAACTCACCTCATCCTGGGCTACTTGAGCAGCTCTCATGTCCACCTGGGTAGCCTACAGCATAAAAAAATACAAAAAAATAATAATTTAATTGGATTCTATGCTGTCCATTTTTTGAAATCCTACATAAAAATAAACTGGTATTTGAAACTAGTTGTGATGAACATTCCTCAGGTAAACATTCACCAGCCAGAGCAGGGTCTGTTTTGACCAGATTCCACAGCAGATTCTTAGAGAATGACCAGAACTCAATAATGGAGAGACAGGGATATGGAATTCTATTGCTAATGCTTACTCAGTAAATAAAACTAAACCCTCTAATCCTGTTGTTTTGATTTTTCCACCAATAAAAAATACATATTAGTTTCTCAACTGACAAAAGACTGTAATGCCTACTATATAATCTCAAGAATGACTCAATTCACAAAAAACCTTCTTCAGCTGAACTTCTACATTAAAACGTGCTCACCAAAATTTCTTCTTCCTGCAGCTTTCTGGCAATTTCAGCATCATACCATTCCTGGTCCCTGTGCATCACTCGTGATGGAGTTGAGACTGCTTCTTTCATCCCTCTCGGCTTCAGTCCTAGAAAAAAAACAATGTAATAAGGCAATCAAGTTTTTTCAAAAAAGTTGCAAAATTTAAGGTAAAAAACTCCAAAATCTTTACCTTAAATTTTCCCTTTCTTTATAACCTAACACTGACAATACTGTCACCACTCCAAAATTCAGTGGAGGGTACACTGGAAATAATTTTTTCCTAAGATTTGGAAGTGGTGGTGCAGATAATACACACACTTAAAGTTACCACCCAGCCCTGCCTGGCAAAACCTCCCCTCTCATAGTTTCTCCAAGAGCAGGAAATCAGGCAAGGAACTGTAAGGGAGGCCTTTGCAAAATAGAAAGTGAAAGGGGGAAAAAGGTAAGTCACTGAAATCAAAAGAATTTAGAGAGAAGAAAGTTATAGGGCTGAAGTTTTAAAGAAGCTAAGCTGCCAAGACTAGAGGAAATGAGAGACTCCTTTCTATCTGCCTCAGCCCTGCATACCTAACCTCAGAGGGGAGAGAAGCAGCAGCACCTGGGTGTTCTGTGACCAAGTACCCGTTAGCCACCAAGAGGTCCTGACCTGGCTTCTGCTGTGACAGTCAACAAACCCACTTGCTTTTTAGATCTTTCCTGTAGCTTTGATCAGTTTACTGTTGTTGCTAAATTCTGTGGAAGATATAACACAGAGGAAATAGAGAGCACAATGACTCTAAGTTCTATCCCTCTGAGAAAGGAACTGGCCAGGATGGGTGTGGAATTTTGGGTTTTTATTCTGGAATTTTTTATGCAGCATATATTCCTTTGGTAACTTTTAACTGAGTAGTAAATGCTAATGGCCATTTCAAAATTGTGGCTATTTCCCTCTTTTTACCTTTCTAAATAACAACTATTCAATAATGTGAATGCATTATATTCAGAAATAATAAAAACGTTTACTGCAGTGAACAAGGTTAACCATTTGAAACAGTGACTTTGGAAAATGGATTGCAGACGGGAGAAAGTTCACTCCTAACTGCCTATTTCTTTATATCAGTGGTTTGCCACCATGGCTATATACTAGAATCACTTGTGGTGCTTTAAATAAACATAAACATCTTTGACCCAAATCCCAGGGATTCTAATTTAAGTAGCCTGAAGAAATATGGCCATTAGTATTTTGATTTTTAAAAAATCTTTAACAATTGATTCTTATTTGTGATTAGCATCAGAACTACCAGTTTAGTGCATTATGTCCATCAAAATAACCATACATTAAAATGTTTTTTATCAAAATGCCTCACCACATTTGATTTGCTTGCTTTAAATAAAAAATAAAAAAGGAAAGACATGAAAATACAACTAAATTCTGGGCAAATGAAGAGTTTAAGTTATCTGGTGAAGCCTTTCTTTGTAGAGCTTTGAATCTAGCTCCGTGGTAAATCCTAAAGCCACAGACTCATCTGCCTTCCCCACAGAAAAGAGACTATTAAACATGGTTTTCTTAGCTGCAGGCCAATTAGTACATAATTACCCAGTACAGAGAATCCACTTCAACTTCTCATCGTTTCTAGAGCTACTGTATCTTATGCCAGACTGGCCTGGTTTTCTGAGTGGTTTGGGACAATCACAAAACAGTAGCACACTCCCAAGGGTGGACCATATTTAAATGGAATATAAACCTCCCTGAGTTATGATTAGTGTGGTCATAACTGGAAAGGAACATTTTAGGTAAAATAAATAAAATTATATAAGGAAGTTAGTATTGGGCAAAGTCAGTGGACAAGGTAGATTGCTATATCATATTCCTATCTGTGGAAAAATGGCGCAATGAGTAGCCCAAAGCCTAGTTGAGGAGGAGAGGAAAGATCACCTACTTATGCCTTACCCCTTCAGTTTTACCATCCAGTGAAAGAAAAAATATAGTGGGATATGCTCAACTTTCTACACTATTATACCTCCTACTCTACACCAAAGAATTAACTGAGAAATATTTTAATATCTATCAAAGACACTTGGAAGGCATTCAAATGCAACAGTCTTAATTGGCTTAACAGGTTGAGAAGACTGTGACCTCTTGGCAGTTAAAAACAGAATAGTACACAGATCCACGGAACAGAACAGAAAACCCAGAAAAAACCTATAATGTATGACCATTTACAACAAAAGAGCCAAAAATATAGAAAGGGGAAAGAACAGTATAAATGGTGTTGAGAAAAATTAGACAGCCCCATGCAAAAGAATGAAACTATCTTCTACCATACACAAACACTAACTCAAAATGGATTAAAGAATTGAACATAAGACCTGAAAACCATAAAACTCCTAGAAGAAAACATAGGCAGTCAGATCCTTGACATCAGTCTTGGAGATAATTTTTTGGTTTTGACAACAAAAACAAAGACAATGAAAGAAAAAATAACAAGTGAGACAGATCAAACTAAAAAGCTTGTGGACAGAAAAACACACCATTAACAAAATCAAAAGGCAACCTACTAAATGGAAGAAAATATTGCAAAGCACATATCTGATAAGGAGTTAATATCTAAAACATATAAAGAACTCCTAAAATGCAATAGGAAATATATATGTATATGGTTAAAAAATGGGCAGAAGATCTCTAAAGACATTTTTTCAAAGAAAACATACAGATGATCAATAGGTACATGAAAAGGTTCTCAACATCACTAATTAACAAGAAAATACAAATCAAAACATCTGTTAGAATGGCTATTATTAAAAAGACAACAAATAAGTAAGTGTTGGTGAGAATGTGGAGAAAAGGGAACCATTCATTGTACACTGTTGTTGAGAATGTAAATTGGTATAACCATCATGAAAAAGTCTGGATGTTCTTTGAAAAATTAAAAATAGAACTACTAAGTTATCCAGCGATTCCCATTCTGGGTATTTATCTGAGGGAAGGGAAAACTCTAACTTGAAAGGTATATGCACCCCATATTTACTACAGCATTGTTTACAACAGCTAAGACATGGAAATAACCTAAAGCCCACTAATGGAGGGAAGAGTAAAGGAGATGAGAGAGAGAGTCATGCACTGCTTAACAATGGGGACAGTTCCGAGAAATGCAGTTAGGTGACTTTATCGTGTGGGAACATCATAAGAGTACACTTACGCAAAACTAGATGGTATAACATTCACACTAGGCATAGCCTATTCCTCCTAGGCTACAAGCCTGTACAGCAATGTTATTGTACTGAACATGAGATTAAATCAAATATAAGAGAAAATGATGTAATCGAGAGACAAGGTAAACATGAGATGTCTGAAGCTGCTGCTGGCATAACAGGATACACTGTTTTACAGCAGTTTTGTTTTTTAATAAATAAAAAGAGTACACTCTAAAACAGCGAGAAGAAGTATAGTAGATACATTAAGTCGGTAACACGCTTGTTTATTATCATTATCAAGTATTAAGTATTAAACATAACTGTATGTTATACTTTTATACAACTGGCAGTTCAGGTTTGTTTACGCCAGCATCCCCACAAACAGGTGAGAAATGCCTTGTGCTCTGACACTAAGATGGCTATGATGTCAGCAGACAATAGGGATTTTTCATCTCCATTGTATTCTTACAGGACCACAATCATATATACAGCCCATCATTGACTGAAATGTCATTACTGTATATATGACTGTATATATACAATGGATTATTATTCAGCCATAAAAAATAAAATCTAACATTGACTGAAATGTCATTACTGGCTCATGACTGTATATATACAATGGATTATTATTCAGCCATAAAAAATAAAATCTTGCCATGTGCAACAATATGGATAGACCTTGAGGGGATTATGCTAAGTGAAATAAGTCAGAGAGAGACAAAAACCATATGATTTCATTTATATGTAAAACCTTAAAAAAGAAAAACTGCACTCATAGATACAGAACACATATTGGTGTTTGCCAGAGGTGGGGATGGGGGTGAGGGTAAAATGAGCGATCTTAATAGGGGGTCAAAAGGTACAGACTTCCAGTTATAAAAAAAAATAAGTCATGGGAATGTAATACATAGCATGTTGACTACAGTTAATAATATTGTGTTGCATATTAGGAAGTTGCTAAGTGAGCAGATCTTAAAAGTTCTTATTACACACACAAAAAAATTGTACCTGTGTATGGTGACAGGTATTAACTAGACTTGTTATGGTAATCATTTCACAATATATACAAATACTGAATCATTATGTCATACATCTGAAACTAGCATAATGTTATATGTCAACTATGCCTCAATAAAAAGTTAGAATGTGAAGCAATATCTCCTTAAGTCCCAAATAAATAGTGGGAAAACAGTTTATTTGATCTCTTGCTATATATCACTGGAACTTATCTGCATAGCCCAGAATAGTTTCTGGAACTTCAGCTAGTGTAGTCTAAGGCTGTCACTACAGATAATAGAGATGCTTTAAAAAAAACTTTAAAAGCACAGTTAATTGAAGAAAATAAACAGAATGGCTGTCCTCATTTTGGTAGCCTAAACATAGTCGGAAAACTCACTTTCAAATGGCCGGGTGAACCATATTCCAACAGTTCCACATTCATTTCTTAATCTAATTTTTGCTTGTCTTTTTCTGTTTATCATTGTCCAGAATGAGGACATAAGACCATTCCTCAATAAACAAAAATAAAACTTACTTTTAAATAAATTCTGCTAGGAAATAAGATAAAATGATAACTGATAAAATTCTTTGATATATTGCAAGAATAGTTTGTAATAAGCCAGTGACACTTGGGGAATGTCATAGCAGAAAGACACAGAAGTTTTATGACCCTGAGAGGTTGGAGGTTAACCTGCAGAAAATTAACAGGCTGGTATGACATAACAGCTCGAGAGAGAAGTTACCCTCAAAGGTGGTATGGTTTTCCTGCCCTTTAGAAGGCTGACCAATTTTATATTTAATTTAGCAATTTTATTTTGCATTCCTTTTTCAATGACTCTGTAAAATCCAGTCCTACAAATGCTTACTTAGAATGAGCTATTTGTCATCATGCTAGTTTCTTCATTATTAAGGTAAATAAAACTCTGGCCTATGCTAATAACTTTAAGAATAGACACCTGTTCTTAGTAAATATATTTTAATGAAATCCTCTGATCTATTCCAGGAGATTTGCAAAATCTAGCCTGAGGGGCTACTGAGGTGAAATTTGTAAAGTAAGTGGAATACAAAATGATAGACCAATCAGCTATGTTGTAGCCACGTTAGTAACCTGCCGAGCGACATTGTTTAAACCCCTGTGCTGGTAAAATAAGTAAAAATAAACAAAAAGCATTTGCCTACAACTCCAGGAGTTGGGTATGTGAATCAGTGTCTAGTTTCATATTAGTTTCACCCTTCCTAAGCCTATTTAAGATACCCTCAAGTCCAACTAAAAGCCTTAAAGGTTAAACAGCCCTCAGAGCACACTTATAAGGTCCGATTCACACAATCAGAAAATAGAGAGGTCAGCGTAATCACCGTGTCCCCCCCCAAACCTTTAGGACTCCAACACGTCTTTCTAAATCTGGATGTAGTATAACTGACTCATAAAGCCTACTCCAGATTATATCACTTCCTCCTCTATGCCCCACAGCTCTCTGTACAAAGTCTATCTAATTTGCAATTGCTTGTTTACACATCCATCTTTTTGGCTGGAGTTATTAACCCTCCAAGGCTCAGGCCCAAGCATAAACTCCCAAACACAAAGCCTGAGGCAAGAATATTTGTGGCAGATGCTCAGTATGGCTTGCTGAACTAAATTTTCATTGTCTTTATGACCAAGTCCTCTAATAACTTAAAGGATTAACATAACAGGAAGAAGCAACTAAATCTACCTGAATCTGCAACCCAGAAACCAATTTCCAGGGCAGAAGTAGAGTTTGGCTAGGAAAACAATAAAGAAGAAAATAAGAATTGACGCCTCCTTGGTACTCGTTTCCCAATAACTCTTGCATCTCTAAAACATTTCAGTAAGAGTAAATAGATCCAGGTAAGTATGGTCTAATACCAGACAGAGCAGTGCTATGACTTACAGTTGTACAGCCACAAGGTTTCCAGACAAAAATAGAGAGAACTTTCACTGTGTCAATGATGGACTTCAGAGTTAAGCCTCAGAGATGCCAGAAATCCGAAGCTTAAGCCTAAGGTTCTCATCATTCCTATTAAACTACAGGCATACCTTGGAGATATCGTGGATTTGGTTCCAGACCACCACAATAGAGTGAGTATGGCAATATAGCAAGTCATAACCTTTTTGCTCGAGGAGGGTCTCGCCTTTAATTTGTACAAAATGCAACATCTGTGAAGTGCAATTAGGTGAAGCGCCTGCACCAAGAACTTACCTGATATTGGCACCTCAGAACACCAACTGTAGAGTTACAGTTGAGGAACAGTAGGCAGAGAAAGTAACCTAAGGCAAGGATTTTTAAACTTTAAGTACGTAATCATCTCCAGGACTAAAACAAGCCCAAACTGCCAGGCCATACTCCAGAGATGAAAATACAGAGTATCCCCCAAAAATGTATATATACTTTTAACTCATTATTAATTCCAATGGGTTAAATCTGAACAGAAAAAAAACATCAATTTAGTTATAAGCTGTTAGTGTATACATTTTTTTGGGACACCCTGTATATGTGAGACCCAGAAAACTGCCTTTTTAGGAAACAGCTCCACTGATTCTGATGGAAATGGACCGAGGCCCATAGAATAAAAAGCACTCTCTTAAGAAACTGCATCTCCAATCTCTCACTTTGCAGACAGGAAAGATAAGGGCAAGAAAATCTAGTACCTCCAGCCCTGTTGGTCTTCCAGTTAGGCAAATACTATGAAGGCAGTGCCACCAGATCTTCTGGATTCACTGAACTAAAACCAGAAATTCAGCAGCTTTGCTTTGGTATCTGAATCTCTGATGTACGATCTTGGCAAAGAAAGAACAGTATCTGGGATGGGCACCTCCACTGCAACCAGGGGCTGGAGGAACCATGTAATGAATCACAGTGCTCTCTCAGAAGACAGAAAGGGAAGATCACAAGTATTTTTCCTTCTTCCCACTGACTGAGATTAAGAAAATACCTTATGCAAACTTTGACTTCAGGTTTATTTCACACCCACGAGCAAAAACCAGAGAGAAAGAACAGGTTGCTTGAGATGCTTCTTAAATACATTTGTTTGTGTGTATACACGATACCAGGCCTTCCAACAACTGTCCTTCATTACCTGTGTCACGGAGTTGGAGCCGCTCCTGACTCTCCGAGAAGGGAGGAGTCCTGGGCCCGGGCTTCTTCTCTCTGCGCTCACCTTGCCCACGCTCCCTCCCATGTACAGCCTCTTTGCAGTGAATCCCTGCTTTCTGAGAAGACTTCGGTGAAAGCCGGTCTTGGTGTCTGGACTGTTTTTCCCAATTCCGAGTTCGATGACTACTGTTAGCCTCATGGTCATCAAATTCTGTACTCAGAAACACCTCACCACTGATCCTGGGGAGAGGTGGTCTCCGGGCCCTCTCATGACCAGACCATTTCCTTTCCTGATGTTCAGTGTGAATTGGGGGATCGTCCCTCACTTTGCGTGAGCTAGAGGACAGACATTTCTCTGGTAAACGATGCTCTTCTAGTTCTTCCAAGTTCTCTGGTGGATGTCTGGGTTTCTCCTTTCTCTGCTTCACAGTCTTTTCATCACTTTGGAGTTTACAAGACCTTGAGAATTCAGAACCCCATTCCCTTGCCCTCCTTGACCGAGGCTGGTCTGAGTGGTGGTGGAGGAATGTGAAAAACAGAAACGCAGGTTAACTTAATCGGATTATGAACTCCCTATACAGGTGAGACAGGGCCTCTACTTTAAAATGAAGAGGACCAATTTTTCAACTTAACAAACTGAAAACAGGGGATGGGCATTTAATGGAAGGATTCTGGGTACATAGCCAAAAAGGTTTAAAAATTAATTAATTAATTAAGTTAATTAAGTGAAATAAATCTGGAAGATCTTGATCATGATTAGGAAGAGTTAAAGCACTTTAATATTTGCCAATAACAAAAATTACAGCCATTAAATGTTAAATTATACTTATAAAACCAATTTGGAACTGTATATGGGGGAAAAAATGGGATTTGAGGGAATCTCATAAAACAGAAAAAACTAAGCTTCGTGATTCCAGTCAGAGGCTTTCAAATATTCTTCTTGGAAATAACAATAAATCAGCATCAGAATGTTGCTAGTTTCCACGCAGTTGAGAGAAATGACCCACGGTGTTTAGTATTTCTCTACGCTTTCCCCTTAGGCGGCCAAAGCAAACATTCTGCAGTTCAGTGTGGCAGAGGGTGAAGTACAGGAGAATTTCAAGGGATTGAATGGCCCTGTTATCTTTGGATGATTCTGCTCTCAATCTTATTTGAATTGTGGCAGAGCAAAAAATTAAAAAAGGATGCCATCATGGAACACACAAAAAGGAGTCATTTCCTAAATTCACTTAAAAAACTTTATGATTCTGTATTCTTAATATAAAAACAGTGCTAAATATACAAGTCCCTAAGTTTAATACAATGCTCAAAAGCAGCAAACAGATAGGTGCTTTTATCTGGTGCAGCACAAGCACAGTGTGAAAACAAAGGAAGTAAATTAATATGCACTTTGCAAGAGCGTAGTTATTTTAACATTTCTAAGACTTTAATACATTTTCAAATTAATAAAAAGAAATCCTAATTCCATGGAAAATTGCTAAGATAGCTGGAATGAGCCATTTGCTGAGTTGCATTTGAAACAGCTACCCTAAGTTGATGGGCTATAAAGGAAATAAAGAACTATACATTTTTAGTTTCTAGGTTTTGTTATGTTTTTTGGTTTTGTTTTGCATTTTGGTTTTTTGTTTGTTTTTTAAGTTTGTTATTGTTAATCTAATAAAGGAACAGAGGGAGTAAAGATATATGCTAAACTGATGTCATAAACTTTTCAAACACTTCAAACTGTTTCTTCTTGAATTTGAAAAGAAAATTTGCTTCAAAGATGACATGTACATTAAGATGACTTCTGAAAAGTCAGTAAAAGTACTTATCTTCATAATTTATAGTTAAATTTATTTTTTACATAACAGCAAAGTTGAAACAAGAGAACAATTACTCTGTGGTTAAAAAAAAATTTATCTACTCTTTTAACCAAACTATTATTCTAAGTGTATCTTGACTAGTGAGAAAGAACCAATTGACTACTGCTGTGAATTAAATACTATAGACCAGCTATTTGGATGATGACCACATCCAGGGAACAATGGCTTACAGTGTTAACACCAGTGCTCCCAAAGAGAGCTGCATGAGTGAAGTCCGCCTTTAAGGCCAAAAGAAACAAGAAGGGGTTTGTTTTCAACATGGATTTGTGGGCTCTGATTGTTTTGTTGTTATTCTTTTTAAATTCTTTCTTAAATGTTAAGTGATATTAGTTTTACTTTAGGGAAATATGTTGCAAGAATTAAAGCAGAGGTATCAATTACTACATTTTCAGAGTTGATGGGATAAAAATACTTATTGTCTAGTTCACTTGCTGTGATATCTTTAAATCTGGGAAAGAAAAAAAAGACAGGTGGGGGAATCTGTTTGAATCCTTTAAGACCTCTGTCCAGTTAAGGATTGAGACTTGTACATTTCTTGAGACCAAGTTATTTGGCAAATATAATTAACTTCCTTATATCCGCTATATATACATATACATGCATATGTGTATATATATATGTATATATATATATATATACATATTTTTGTGCCTCCATGTTTGTCTTTCAAAATAAGATAATTTTTGTTTAGATATAAAAATACTGTTATACACACATAACATTAATATAGGAATAAACAATAGTACTTGAGAGTTTATGTCTTCACCAAAATTACACTATTTCATCTTCTAACATCCATGAGAAAGATATATTATTATAATCCCAATTTTACAAATGAGAAAAACTCTTAGAGTGATTAAAATAGAGAACTTCCTAAGATCTCATGACTCCAAAGAACATAACTTTAAAACAAATCACTAATATACCTGCAATACAGGTAAGTGCCTTTGATGGAAAAACATGGATTCACAAATGAATGAGATGTACCATTTCAGTTGATATTAATCTGACAGATATTTGGTATAATTACAAATTTGTAGAAAATCTATAAATGATCATTTTTAAAAGATTTATTAAATTTTAAGTAAAACGGAAGCTGAAAAGACCACTCCTGTAATAACATACTGTGATTATTATGTAAGTAAGGAAAAATCATATTACACAAAGACAGAGATGTACAATGAAAGAATATCTCTTATGTGTTGGGAAAGGACCACTGCAGAGAACATCAGGATTGCTTTGTAAACACAAACTGGATTGTAATGTGATTTCTGTGTCTTCAACTCGGGTCTGACTCAAAGGCATATAAATAAGGATCACATGCTCAGCAATACATAATCTCTCCACAATACAACTGAAGATGAATTCCAGTATTTACATATATATGCTCAGGAAGTCACTACTTCCTATTCCCAATGCCCCCAACTCCAAAAAGTGACATATATGCCACTCTCTATAAGTTTACAAAAGCAGCTAAAATATACACAGACTATATATTTTTTTAACTTTTAGGTGTCCCTGAAAATCCACTGAATTCTGAACATAGTCTCCTGCCCTAGAGATATGAATCAGGATGAGGGTTCTCTGGTCAAAACAACCAGGTTTGAATTACAATTCAAGTTAGTATCAGGTTTTAACAGAGAAAGGCTAAAATTAATATTTTAGTGTACTTCACTGCCATCCTAATGTTTTTATAGACTTAAAAGTTTAAAGTAGTTATTTTTATTTGCAGTAAACGTGCCTCCAGAGTAGAGTTAAAAACAAACCAGACAGCATTTCTAAGATATTAAATAAGTCTGAAGAGTAACACTTTACCTTCTGGTCTCTAGTGTATCAAAATATGGCAATAATTTTTCTTTTTAAGTAATGTACGATTGCATTAGAAAAACCAGTTTAAGAAAAATTGGTATGAAAAAAGAGCTGGGGATTTTACATATGGAAGAAGAACATAGCAAGCAATAAATGGAGAATCAACCTGCTCTCTAATTGTGCCACAGAGCTGAGCTCTACGATTATGATCAATTTAAAGCAACAATGTGACTAAGCAAGATGTACCTAAACTGTAAGAATCCTATCATCTACATATGCATTCCTTTCATTCTACTCATCAAAGACGAACACCCACTTACCTTTTTTAATGAAATTATACAGAAGCAACTGATAATTAGTTTGCAAGGGCCTTTAAAACTGTTGAACTTAAAATATTTACTCTCTAGAAGCAGCCTTAGATTTTATTTATTTGTTATCCTAAGTATGGACTCAAAGCTGAACTATAATAAACACTCATACTAGAAACTATAGGGAATGTCTTTCCTTTGACAGATATTTCAAAAGGACTGAACAATACTTGCAAATACTCATTTCCCAACACACTGAGAGTAAAGAGCCACCACCAAAATTGTCACCACCACACTGCAAACAGGGGCATTAGAAAGAGAAACTCTGAAGGGACTTCTTTCCCTCAGAAAGTTTTCTATATGGCAATCAAACAGCAAGGAAAGCATTGAGAGCAAAATAATGACCAGAGAATCATCAATTTTAATTTGTCATCAACAGGCTAAACCACTGGCGTATTTTTAAAACACAAGACGAATAGGAAAAAAACTTGGTTACCCAGTAACTGGTGTACTTTCTTTATGACCTGGGCTACTTTGTAGCTTCAAACAGCCCTGACCAGATTTTCTTGAGAAAGATCAAGCCCCGAGACTCATCCCACCATTTTCCACACCCCAGTTTATGTGCTTAGAATGTAACAACAGCATCCTCAGTGGCAACAGCACAAAAGAATGCCAAAGCTTACAAAACTGTATTGAGGCTTTAACAGCCCTAAAAATGGCTCTGATCTTCCAATAAGGAACAGATGAATTCCTTAGATTCAGACAGAATTCTGCCACAAATCTAAATGGGCCCGGGGGTCACTTTATGGACACATGTAAAGGGTCGTCTCGCAGCTGAATCTAAGGACAGAGTGGGTCACGATGTAGGCAACATTACCTCCATCTTCGTAACAGTAATGCTCGCCATAAGCATTGGCTCCAGGGGACTCTGGGAAGTGTTTCTTTCGCTTCTTCTCTTCCTGTAACTCCTTTTCTTGCAAAAGGCGAGCTATGTCCTGCAAATACAGAGAATGGAAATAAATATTGGCAATGAAGAGTTTGAAATACTCAGTGTTAAAGTCAAATATCTCAACTCCTTTATGCATCATTTTAATAAATCTGTGTTACCAGGTGCCAACCACTGTACCAGGTTTATTACATTTCATGTCTTACAAAGTAATGTATCAATCAGTTAGTAAGACAGAGAGAGGTGGGACTGATAACTTGTTCTGTTATAGTAGAATCTCCCAAACTTGTATCTGTTATAGTAGAATCTCCCAAATTCCTATACTTTTTACTGCAGAAGTAGGGGGGAAAATGCTAACAATTCCCTAAATTGTCATGTTTATGAAGCTCCCAACACTACATTTTCCTAAGTGGTTTGCTTTACAGAAAATAAAAAAGTTTCCCTTGCTATAACTGAATAAAAATATAAAGAAAAATTACCAACTCCAAATGCCAGCAGAAATTATTAAGCTACAGTCCAGAGACCTTATAACTGCTTTCCTACTATTGAATTGAGTCCTAATAAATACATAGTAATAAGCCATTTTCTCAATGTGAGACCCAGGAGAGAAACAAGGATGATACCCCTTCAGCACAACACATTAGCTAGTCAAAGGAAGTGATTTTAATCAAGTAGAAAAATAATAATCATAATGTCTCATGCACCTCAGCACCCAAATCTTTTCCTTTTTTAAGTTCTCAGCTCTTTTGTTTTTTCAGTAAGATTCTACCTGATGAGAACAAAGATTACCTGGGCTTGAGGAGGGAAAGAATAAAAAGATTTAGTGGAAAATAGCTGTGATAATATAACTGTGGTTTAGCTTAAGTGAATTCTCCCCCTCCTGCTTTCCTCCATTATTACTGTGCAACGAGTTCAGTCGGGTTATTTCAATATAAAGAATTTCCCCTGAAACAAGCTTATGATGGCAATTATTAGTCACAATGGTTGGATGAAGCTTAGTCACCCTTGACATAAACAACCTCATTGGTCTTGAGCCTCCTTCCTGTCAAAGGTTAGACCAGAACAGGATTTCCCAGGGGTCTCAAAGGTGCTCCTGAAAATCTTAAAGCACTCCATGGAAAGCAGGTATTATATCTAACTCTTTAAAATACACATCAGCATATTTTAAAACTTTGATAAAAGACACCTGTTATCTTCCTATAACTCATGAATTTCTAGATTTACTTTGTGATAGAAGCCTTTTTTTAAAAAAGATTTTTTGTTGATTTTAGAGAGAAAGGGAGAAAGACGCATTAATCAGTTGTCTCCCACATGTGTGCCACCAGAGATCAAGCCTGCAAAGTGCCCTGACCAGAAATCAAATCGGCAACCCTTCAGTGCACAGAATGATGACTCCCAACAGAGCCACACCAGCCAGGGCCAGAAGCCTTTTTTTACATAAAGCATATAAACCTTATGAAATTAGTGTTCCATAAAACATAACTTAGGAAAGGAACCTAAAAGAATCCATAAGTGCTTTTGAAGCAATACTCCATGATTTTTAAAAATTAATCATAAACTCTGCGGCATAGAAGACTTTCTAGTTAAGTCATTTATTGGAATATGAATCTGCCATTATACCTCATCTCTCTCTTTTCTGTTATCCAAGTCACTCTATTCTAGAAAATTTGCAGCTGTGAGCATAAGAAAGGGGCATAGTTAAAAACCTCTAGAATGCTAAGGAAAGTCATTTTAATGAAAACAAAGATTTACTGATCCCCTTCAATGGGCGAAACACTGTTAGAGACCTATAGAGAAACAAGATATGGTCAATATCCTGAAAGTCCTTATCTATTAAATATCAGAGGCAAATAATTACATAATGTAAGACGTGCAAAGATGAGTGCTCTAAGAAAGGCATTAACACAAGCAAGGTGTGATGGAACCCAGGAGGCTGGCACAGCTTTCTCCAGCAGTTGACAAATTACTGAACCATGTGTTGGATTCCTTAAAGTATTTTTATTCTTTATATGATTTTATATCAGGGTTACTTCTCCCTGGGGACATCTCCCTGGGGACAACAACCCAAAAGAGATCTAAAATCATGATTGTCAAATGACTGTCAAAAAGAAGAAAGAAAAAAAAGAAAGCCATTCCATTAGATTGCTAAAGTCCTTACCAAGTAGCAGTAAGTGTATTAACATCTAACTCAGTAGGGAACTCAGAGCATATATAATTCCAAAAGGGTTACTCTAGAAGACCAGGGAAACCAGATAATTACAATTCCATGGATGTAAAAACATCAGTATAAACAGGCAAAAAAAGAGAAAATACTTTTTTCTCAATCAGAGGCTTCCCATTTGCCCACTTCCTCTTTCTAGCCATATATGTATTAACTTATTTTTAAAGTGGCAAAACATGGGGGAAAAAATTAGTAGCTAAAATGTAATACTATTTGGAGCTATCCTCTATTAGCAACGTATACAAAAATTCTTCTAGAACACGAAGTTCTAATCATTTAAGAATGCTATGGAAAAGTACCATGGTTCACAGTAGATTAATTTTTAATGTAAACTGGTTACTAAGTTTATCCCTGAGCAGTCTACATTATAAATGATTTCAAATTGATGGACTGGGTGCCACAGACTTTGCATAACATGGTTGGCCACGCTATTTACTTAAGCAAAAAATAAAAAATGTTTTTCTCTAAAATAGTTTAACAGCCATATATATCTGGACCTGTTGGCAGCAAGAATGGCACCAGGTGTTAGACCAGTGGGGTCAGACCAGATCTTGGTTCAGCAACCTCAGTACCTGAGTTCTGGCTAGCAAAAAATTCAGAGCCAAGACTCAAACTATAAGAGAAAGTTTACTTGGAAAGTCAAAGAGGCAGAAGAAGTGAGCTGTAGAAGAAATGGGCTCAGGAAACAAGGTACAGAAGCAAAAGAAGGGCCCCTGGAGCTTAGGAGAAAGGTAACACCTGGAGTGGCAGGGTAGAAAGGGGCAGGGGAAAGGCTCCTGGGAGGGAGAGTGCTCTGGGTCTTCTGTCCTAAGGGGGACTTTTAAGGGTGGGGATTTTAGGGGATATCCCAGGGGGGATCTCATTAGAATATTCATCAGCTTCCCATGTGTCCTTTCAGGATCTTGGTCTCCACTGACTGGTCAGCACCAAGGCAGGGGGTCATTAGTCAGTGCAGCTGATCCTGAGGCAGGCAGGCATGGCCTGGCTTGTCTGGTTCTGCTGCTTTTCTGGGCCTGGAGCTGAAACATAACTGAGGCCTAGATGTATTTGATGCAGGTCAGAACCTCATTGTCCTGAGGGCTTAATGTTTAAGGGCTATTCTCTGGCCTCCTTGTTCCTCCTCAAAGGGGATCTAACCCACATAACTAGCCACATGCCAGGGAAGGAAAGGTCATGGGAGGGTCCAAACCACACAACCAGAGATGTGAAAGGTCAGGAGATCTAAACCCCAGGCGCAGAGGTACGCCAGGGGAGGAAAGGTTACCCTGGGAGTGAGGTCCTTGTTTTCCCAGTTTTGCCCTTGGTAAGCACCAGGGGCCCTCCACCCCAGTGACCTTAGGTACCTGGCCCATCATCCTTGCTCTCTACTCATGTCTGTCTAGCTGCCACCACAGACCTAGGTTGAGAGACAACATGTATTTCTACGGATTCTCTCCCTTTCCCTCTTTCAGACACACACACACACGTGTGCACACACAGACACACACACTTATTTAGAGTTTTATTTAAGAATACTACGTTAAATTAACTAAACACACATTCCTTGGTTTTATTAAACAACACTGCCAAATGCTTATGCTGTGATCAAGAGAAAGATCCAGTGAAATTAGTCCACTTGTACTAATCACACACTCATACGGTCCAGCATTCCCAAAGCCTACAAGCCACTGTATATTCAAGACACTGTAAAAAGAAAAAAGGAAGAAAGAAAGGAAGTAGGGAGGGAGGTGTAAAGAGAGAAGGGGGGAAAGGGAAAGAGGAAGGGGTGGGGAGAGGCCACAGTGCTGGTAAGAATACAAATCTTTCTCCTTTCCTTTTTTTTTTTAAACTTTTCAACATCTGTCTCCCTGAAAGGAAATGCTACTTTCCTTATATCTGTGCTCTGTTAAAAAACACAATAAAATTATACCATAACAAGGCCAGACATGTTAATTGACCCACACGAAGTTGTATAACTCTTACTTCTCCTGTACAACATTGTTCAGAAAAAAAACTGTCCCAAGGGTAAAGGGGCTCTGGATTCTACATCTGGTTGTTTGGGGGGATTATAAAGTGCCCAAGAGAGTTGACCCCAAAAATTTCTAAAAGAAATTTCATTGAAAATCCAGAGAGGAATTTTCCACAGCTCTGCTGTTGAATAAAAACATATTAGCTAAGCAGACTCTCTCTACAGGGAAGTAGAACAGCGGCAGGGGGGAGAACTGGGACAGTTCATGAGTAACAGGCAATGCTTTTTAAAGAGCTGGCCAGGAAAATGAGCACTACTAACTCAGTCACCTCTGTGAGGAGGCTTGAATTAAATAAACAAATTAGTATTATCATACATCCTTCAAGGACAAACTTCACTAATGCAAATTTTGTTCATTTATTATTAACATCACACCTGTCAGCTGAGAGTCACATTTTCTACCATAAAAGAACATCTTGGCACAGTAGGCCCCTTCTAATCTAAGGCATCAGATAAAAACTCAGAAAGTCTGAAAGGAATTTTTAAAGGCTAGCCTCACTAAACCTCCACAACTGGGTTTGTCACTTAATCTCTCCACTGTCCAAGGGCAGGGAAAACACTACAGTAGGTGAAATGCTACTGGAAGACAAGATAGGGAGAGGTCTTTAAGGGCAAGAAAACCCCTGAAGAGCCCTCAAGTCACACCATACTGGAACATACGTAAGCCTATATATCTGTCCCGCTAACTTACCACATATCTCTTACTTATCACATATCTGTAAGAAAAATCTGGTTTGTTATAAAAAGCAGAATGGTGAGAAAAACACCTTGCAAGAAAACAAAAAGTTAAGAGCAATTATTAAGTTAATCCGTATCGGAGGCCTTTTATACATGATCTCATTTAAACCTCATAACAGCTCTTTAAAGTATGCACAGCTATCATGACTTCTCTAATTTAGAACCTGAGTTTCTACATGATTAGCTGAGATACTGAAAGTCAAGGCTAAAAGTTAAATAGTGAAGATTCAAACCCAGGGCAGCTAACTTCAAAGTCTACATGTTTTATGCCATGTTACAGTGTATGTAAGTCAGAAGCAGTCCGTCAAACCTGTACTGCACAGACACTTCTGTGGCACCTTATTATAGCTTGGGACCAGTCATTTACTTCTTCAAGCCATCATTTCTTCATCTGAAACATGGAGTTAGTCACTACACTGCTCACTTTATATGGTATTACCATGAGATTACTTATTGTGATTGCTACTTAGACTCCACATGCCTGAAGGGGAAGTGTTTTGGTTTCACTTTGTGTCCATTTTTCCCTGAATGGGGTGGGGGTTGCGGAGGAAGATCGCAGGACACCAGTAGCATTTATCAGAAACCAACCATTCCTGTTAATTTTAAATAGAAGCTTTCCTGTCTACAAAATATAATCACTTCTTTCAGTTCCTAGTTTCATCCCCAAAGCAAAGTCCTGACTACAGAGAAGCAACACATTCTGTAGTAAGAAAGAGCTCCTGTGCTGGGAACAGGAGAATAAAAAGTAATCCGTAATTCTTACTTGCAGTTCTGTTGCCCACAGAGTCATGGTCTGTTTCTTAAACACAGCTAAATACACTAACACCAGGTTCACCTAGTGATGAGCCAGGTGTCCCACAGGAAGAAGGATGGCTCAGTGGGAGGAGCAGTGTACGTAGACTAGCATACTGGTGACCCTGATCATACCTACTTAAGAGGATGACTGATCGTATGTGCCAGTTAGCAGAGGACAGTCCCAGTTTATATAAATTATTAATAGTGCTCCCTTTAACCCTAGAAAGTATTTGATTACACAATAAATCATACGATCATTGTATTATTAAATATAATAAATCAGCCCTAGACAGTTTTTCTCAGTGGTTAGAGCGTCAGCCCGCAGACTGAAGGGTCTGGGTTCAATTCCAGTCAAGGGCACGTACCTCAGTTGCAGGCTCAATCCCTGGCCCCTGTAAGGGTGCATGCAAGAGGCAACCAATTGATGTGTCTCTCATATCGATGTCTCTCTCACATCGATGTCTCTTTCTCTCTCTCCCTTTCATTCTCTCTGAAAAGCAATGAAAAAAATATCCTCGGGTGAGGATTTAAAAAAAAAAAAAAAGATAAATCATTTTCTCCCTTATCATAAATCAAGACAGTGGCCAAGATAGCACAATAGGCGTGAAAGAAGTCAGACACAGAATCAATACAAAGTGAAAAGAAACTAAGAAATGCCGAAAACATAACACAAAAGCAATAGTTAGTTGCATATTCGAATCTTACAAACCAAACACTATTGCTAATTTTAGTCATTTTCGGCTTTAAAAACAATACAATTTAAAATATATACAGAATCAAACAGAACAGTGCTTTGAGTCAGAATATCACAGGGAAAAAGAGTGAGCAATGACTGCTCCTGGCTTCTCAGTGACCACTCCCTGAGCCCTGTTCAGGACACATTTAAGTTTTGCTATCACTGAAGTTGTGGGAATACCCTATAGACAGAGACCCTGTATTGGGTTGAATAGTGGCCCCTAAAAATTCATTTCTACCAAGAGCCTCAGAATGTGACCTTATTTGTAAACAGGGTCTTTGCAGATGTAATTAGTTAAGAAAAGTCTTACCTGATTGGGGTAGGTCCTCAATCTAATGACTGATGTCCTTATAAGAAAACAAGAGGACACAAAGATACAGGAAAGAAGGCCACCCGACAATGGACATAGAGACTGAAGTGATGCAGCTAGGAGCCAAGGAATGCCAGACTGTCAGCAGCCAACAGAAGCTTGGAGGAGGTAAAAAAGGACCTTTCCCAACAGATAGCATGGCCCTGCCAACACCTTGATTTCAATTTCTAGCCCCCGGAACTGTGAGAAAATAAATTTCTTGTTTTGAGCCAAGTCTGTGGTAATGTTAGAGCAGCCCTAGGAAACTAATTCAGACTTCATATTAAACTATCCATTATCATCTTTTAAGATTTCACCATATGCAACTGATCAAGGGGCAATAAACAATGGTCCATGGAGGGCAATGCCTGGACCATGCACCCAAAGAGGCAAGGTGTTTTTTTTTGTTTTATTTTAATATATCTTTATCGATTTCAGAGAGGGGAAGGGAGAGGGAGAGAGAGAGTTGAAACACCAATGATGAGAGAGTCGTCACTGACTGGCTGGCAAAGAGCCGAGTTGTGCTGCCCATCCAGCCACCCTGCCCTGGGCTCCTGCATACAGCAAGGAAGCGCTGCAGAGCTGAGCCGCCCTCCTCGGGCGGGGGGGCGTCGGCCATGTACCTCATCCTTCTTCTCCTGGATGCGTCGTCTCTCCGCCTCAATAGCCAGCTTCTCCTGGATTTCCTGAGCAATTTCACAGTCTTGCTGTTCACTAAAAAACAGAGGTCAAAACAACATGAGTAAAGAAAGTAAGAAACAATTTACTGACTACTCACTATGAGCCAGTGCATATTTTTATCTCATCTCAATCCTCACAACAGTGTTGCAGAGGTTGATACTGTCACCATTCACAGATGGAAAACCTGAGGCCCAGAGTAGTGAAATCACCACCCCAAGGTCACACAAACAAGTGGCAGACCAGAATCTACTCCCCAGACACTCCAATGGAACGCTACATGCTTTTTCTGCACTACCAGATCACCTCGCCCTGCTTGCTGTTCAGAGGCTGGCATGTTTTCTGCAAATGAGATGTACACCGTGAGACTAACGTCCACAAATATCCAAACACGTAACGAGTACACAGAAACACACTGAGAGTAAGATCACTAAAACGTCAATAATACTGTGGTCACCTAGTGGGGGTGGTATGGCTTTAAAATGATTTTTATAAAATTTTAAATATATATTTTTTTCAGTTTCAATAATGCTTTTAAAAAGAGAAAATATGTATATTCCCCAGCTTCCATATTCAGTAGAAACCTCTCTGGCTGGTACTTAATACTCTGGCCACTAAGAAAACTGCTGTTACCATAGTTTTGTTTGTTTTGGCATTTGTGCATTCAACAAAAATTTAAATATACCATCTTCTGTGGAGCAGGCACTATGCTCAACACTGAAGATAAAAAAATGAACAAATCTTGCTCCTGTGCTCAGAAGCCCCCAATGTACTTTGTTGAAGAGACAGATCCTTTAAAATAATCACCCACAGAACAGCAGTTTCAACAGAAAATGGAGTTTGGATCTCTCAGAGATGGATACAAGTCTTTTGGCTTCAGGTTTCAAGAAAAGTCAGTGGGCAGCTTAAAAATCTAGAATACACCGTGGCAGGTGTGGCTCAGTTGGTTAGGCGTCGTCCTGTGCACCAAGAGGTAACCAGTTCAATTCCCAGTCAGGGCACATGCCCAGGTTGCAGGCTTGATCCCGAGTAGGAGCTTGCAGGAGGCAACGGATTGATGTTTCTCTCTCTCCCTCTCCCTTACTTTCTCTCTAAAAATCAATAAAGTATTTTTAAAAAACACTCTAGAATATGATAGCTCTGGGGAACCAACCTTTACACAAAACTGTTAGCTCAGAAAGATGAACATAAACATGACAAAAGTTTACTATCTAAAAAGATGCTGGAATAAAATTACAATTGTGATTTATATAAATAGTTCGTTTGCTAAACAAATATATCTTCTTATTCTCCCCCAGCCAGGCGAACTTAAACTACTCAAGGAATCTCAGTGTTGGTTGTATAGCGTGTGTGTTTTTTATTGAATTTATAGGGGTGCCAATAGTTAATAAAATTATATGGGTTTCAGGTGTACAATTCTGCAATACATCATCTGTATATTGTATGTTCAGCACCCAAGTCAAGTCTTCTTCCATCATCATTTATCCCTCCTTTACCCTCTTCTTCCTCCCCTCACAGTATCATCTGTTTCATGGCAGTCTTTTGAAAATGAAAAGTGTTGGGGGAGGTAGAGGAGAGTGGCAATATCCTAACTTTTTTATACAAAACTGAGGAATAAAAGGAAATAATTAAAATTATTCTCATTTGTACAAGGGAACAGTCACTCTTAGCATGTTTGGAAAGAGGTAGATGTAGGTGAAAGGGAGGCAAAGAACACAAGACAGGGAGCACAAGTCAGAGATGCAAGTCTTTTAGAATCAGTGGGAAAAACGCGGGACAAAATGTCTGCAGAACTGAGTTCCGGTCCTGCGAATGAACCATGCCTGCTCATGTCATCTGATCAGCTATAGAAGTCGTTGGACTTAATAATTTCACATTTCAGGTCTAATATTCTAGGATTCTTAGCCTTTGAAACCAAAGAGCTAAAGTTAAAAAAATCTACTCAGAATACTTTTTACTTATACATATGTCCTCCTTTCATTCACTCACTCCTAATAATTAAGACTCATAAACAAAATCAGGGTTAGTTTTCAAAAACTCTGCTGCCTGGATCTTCCAAATTAACATAAAATCTGATTAGGAGTAAGCAACTATGAACTACATGCAAGGTGATGAGAGACAGAAGAAAGCAGAACACAGTAAAGAAGGCAGATCCAAACGAAGGGCCGCATTTTCTAAGAAGGACCAGTTCTAGTTCTCTTAGCCAATTATATAGACTCCTGAGGAAGCAAAATCCAGTGAGAAAAGAGTAGTAAACAATCTTCACAAGCTGACTCTGGACAGAAGCCCAGGATCCAGAATGAGTGAAAGGTTCCAGTTCCTTCAAATCCACAGCACTGAATCCTCCCCTTGATGTTCAGCAGTCAAATCTACCAAGATGTGAACACTGAAAAACTTCATTTCTAACTTACTTATTTCATCCAGGAGCACCTCCAAACCCCTGAAGTCCCAGGCAGGAATATACTACTTGGTTCTCCTCTAATTTAGGACCTGTAACCCATCACTCTCCAAATCTGATTTATATCTTACAGTAGTTGGTCTCAATAATCTCTCAATAACCTCATTATGTGCACTATCATTACCTTAATTCAGGATCTTAAACTTCTGCATCGATCTCAGAACTGGCTTTCCTAACAGAGAATTGTGAACAATGTAAAAGGTGATAATCTAGAATTCTTGAATATTCTACCTCTGGTTCTCATCTTCACTCAGTTTATGACACCAAGCCAGCCTCCAAACATCTCAAATCTGTCTCTCCTAACTCCAATAACATTACCACCAATTCAGGCCTCATCAAGTCACTCCTCTCTGTATCTGTATTGTCCATTGTCCTCCTTATTCAAGCCTCGTCATCTCTTAATCTGACCACTCCTGAATTGCTCCCTTCGATCCTGACCCCTCTAATCCTTTACCTACCCAGCCCCCAGAGTAAGTCCCTAAATGAAAATCTAAAACTCCTTCAATAGTTCATTCTCTATTATTTATAATATAAAATCTATAAAGCCTAAATTCCTTTACATAACTCATGTGACCTTTTGGTCCAGCCTTTGAGTACTCTGAAGCCTCATCTTCTACCTAATTGTACTCCCCACTCCAGCAATGCTGAACATCTAGCAGCTACCATGTGATTCCAGGTCCTTTTACCTGTTACCTTTATGCATGCTTCTCCCTCTAGCTAGAATGGTTTTCCCAATTATCACTATAAGTTCCTAATTAACCATCGAAGTTCAGATTAAATACATCACCTATGTTGGGACAGTTTTCTGTCTCTTCTCTCTTCGTAAATATGAAATTTACTATTCAATTCTTTGTGCTTCGTGCATGTATCTCTAAATATAAAGTGTTCAGAATATGTTCCTAGGCCATTAAAGGCAATGGTTATGTTTCCTCATATCTGTGGTTTCCAGAGCCTTTTATGGTGTCAGGGATAGCAAGAGTCAATAGAATGTTTATTTACAAAATAAGGAAGCTAAACAAAAAATTAATTCCTCTCTACCAATAATAAAATAGAAAGACAAATCATTCCTCAAAGGCAGCAAAAACAATAGGCTCTCCTGTTTATATGAACATGACAACTAAAAAAACTGAGAGGTCCCTTCGATTCTTCCTTTACCCCTTCCACCTCAAAACAGTATCTAGTGGTTAACTCCACCCTTAGAGATTTAGGTATAGGAGCTATTCTCAAAGAAGAAATGTACCCTGTGACTTTCAGGGTAATTGTGCTGTAAGCAAACTCAGATATGATCTTTCCTTTATCTAACTATTAAATGAAGAGACTGAGAAAGAACTTTTGTCAGGCACTAAAGGTATGAAGAGAACTGAGTGTACATTTCAGAGCCTTCCACAAGACTCTCTGCCTGTGCCTGAAAAGCAAGGGATTTAAGCAAAGTTAGACCAGCAAACACTGCTAGGAAATAGTAAAGGAACCTAACACAACTCATGAAGTTCTTTCATACACAGTATTCCGCTGGATCCCCCAGATAACCAACCTATGAGGCAGAGGGGATAGAGACCATCTCCCCATATTGCAGAGAAGTGGTCCAAATGTCTCAGTCATAGAGTTAAAATGCTGAAAGTTCACAGCAGAATCCACACATCCCAAAACCAAGTCATTGTTCCCAAAACAAAGAAAATGTTGCAAATCAAAGAAAAGGGTGGGTACATACACACACACATAAATTTTTTAATCTAACGGTGACAGGAATCAGAGGAACAGGAGAGTCTCCTCCTTCCCTGCCCTGGTTGCTGGCTCCACAGAGAAAGCCAGTCCTGGCATGACTCCCTCCCACTCCCCAGGATCCTCACAGGTCTTTGTAGCGCTTCTGCAGCTGAGCCTGAGCTTTCAGATCTTCCTCTTGGAGCTGCTTAGCCACCCGGAGATCGTGCTGGACCAAACGGTTCCGCTGAATGTTTGATGCCAAATGATGTTCAACTGGACGGAAAGATTGAGGCGAGGGATTATAATTATTTGGCTTGTTAATAATAAGCCTTATAATAAACTTAAGAGCTTTTCAAAGAGCTTCATACGCATCACTTTACTGTATGCTCTCAGTAACGCTGTATAAGAGGCAGCACAGGAATTCTTATCCCCATCTTTCCATTAAGTAAAAAGAGGATCCGAAAGGTTAAGTCATTTCCCTTCGGTCACATGCAAAACAGTGGCAGTGCCAGGACTTCTACACAGATATTCTAAAACCAGGCCAGTGTTCTTTCTGCTCCACAAGCTGACACTCTATCGACTGCATTTTTTCAATACTTATTTTTGACATTGACACATTAATGACTCACAAATTACATATTCCTAAATATGTACTTTTGTATAACACATATAACAAAGTTATTTTTCATGATTATATACATAAATATTTAGAAAAATTCAGTCTAAATACCTTCATTGCCTGGAAAAAGACCTTCAGGCCCCTATTCCGGGGGGAAGAAATAGCTCCCTAGGCCAGCCCCAAATATATGTGTGGAGAAAAAAGAGGCCACACACTAAACCTGACAAGCTCAGGGGAGCTGCATCACAGAAGTAACCACAGGATGGTCTGAAACTGAACTTACTTTCTTAACTAAAAGTGAGTCACGGCAGCTAGTCTTTCTAGGCCAGTATCTTTCTTAACAAAGGTCAATCTTAACTGAGCCTGCCTACTGTCTTTCTGCATCTGAGATAACATGCATCTGAAATGTCAGAGTAATCCCCACTTTACCAGAGAAGGAGACCACAGAAGCCCTCATTATCTTATTCCCCTGCACACTAGCTCTATGTGCTATAAACGTTAATTATTAACTATCTTGTGCCCACTAATGTAAAAGGAGTATGTGTCTCTCCATTTTACTTTATCCAATCTCAGAGATTTCCCTGATTTGCTTTCTCCCATCTCCCTAATCTACCACCAGTGGATTTCATGTAACCCTCCCTATGCCTCCTCCTCTGACTGTAATGTATAAAATAAACTACTAAACTGTCATTCTCTGGAACATTTTCTCAATCTGCTGAGATTTTGCTTCCGGGCAGTTGTCGTCAGTTTGGCTCAAATAAACTCATAAAACCTCTCTACAGGTTTGGACATTTCTTATGTCAACGCAAATATAACCAAAGTCTCCCTCCTACAACACTAAGGTTTCAAGGCCTTCTCTTCCTCCAACGTACCCAGAAGTCTTCTACTACCTGGCAGCTGTCATACTTCAAAATAGACAGAACTTCATTCTTCATCCAGGTGTCATGGGCCTAGACAAATCGCTCAAGGGGATGGATGGCGCAGCCTGGTGACTGTGTTCTCTCCCTGCCTCACCCTGACACCTGCCTCAAGCAATCACTACAAAAAAGAAAAGTGAAGCAGCAAGAATGAGGGCTATTACTCACTCTCCTGTTCCTGCAGGTTGTGGGCCAGGGTGTGGTCCTCCAGGACAGCGAAATCTCGACACACTGCGGAGGATGAGGGGGAGAGAGCAGACAGGAAGGCTCATTAGTAGTATTTCAACATAAAAAGAAAAACATTTTCTTGACTTCAACAGTCAATTCTCATACTTAAGATGATCAACTTTATAACTTGCACTGAACAAAATAGTGACTAGTTAGCATAGTCTTCATTCCCCCCAAAAAACCCACATAGTACCTGCTCAGTGAAAAGCACATGGTATCACAAAACAATGGTTAGCTCTGGTCCCTAGCCTAAAGATATTAACCACAGACGCAAACGCAGAGGTCAAGAAATTCCAATCCACTTCTATAAAGGGAGGGCAGGACTGCTGAGATAAGAAGACAAGAATGTTTTGCATGGTGCAGCTGAGAGAAAACTGAGTTCCCACTCAGTCAGAGGAGTTAAATAAACCTAGCCAATGCTTCAGCACCTTGGGTTCAGAGGATCCTCTCCCACAGACTATGTCTATCCTGGTGTCATTAAGGAAAAACATACTTTCATTAGTCCCTCTGGTAGAAGCAGATCTCTACTTTAAGGATAATCACATTCTTTAATAGGTTCATACCCTTAGACATGAGTTAGAACTGGTTCTCTAGGCCTCTCTAAAGGTAGAGCTGCCTGACAAGAATCTGCAAACCAACAGAAAACAGGAACCTTGGAATACACCAGGAATCTGCCCCTAACTTTGCCTCTACCTGGAAATCCAGGCAAGAACATTCGCTGAACTATTTTCTTAGAAGTAAATGAGAAAAGATAGTCTTGAAGGTCCATTCTATCCCAAATTGCAATTTAAACTCCTGCTTCTCAAAGCAAACATACAGGCAGGATGCATGAAAAGTGCTGTTTTGTTTGTTTTAGGGGCATGCAGCTTAGGTGATGTCCTTTCTCTATTAAAAAAGAAAATTCCCCAAAGCCTCAGACTACTGCAATGTATAGGACTTCTGAAAATGTCCCCCAGGCTTCCCAGAGGTTATAGATTTCTTTTTGCAGCTTTGGATTTGCCTGGAAGGACATTTAACTGAAATGGAATGAAGAAACACTCCATTGCCATTCTTAGCACTATGTATGTTCATATACACATTCATACAGCACTGTCCCTTACTGCAACAAGAGTAGGCAGAGCTTGGAGAAGTCAAGGTTAGTCTGAAATGGTTTTATGATGTAGGAATCATTTCTGCTCCAAAACTATACTAAACTGAATATGATCTCAGCTTACCCCTTGCTCAAATGCAACTGTAAAACCAGTAATCCCAATAGAAAGTCCTGTTCAGATACATGCTCAGCAAATTCTAACAACCTGAGGCCCAGATATGAGCTACCCAGTATTTCACAGGATAACAGCGCATGCAAGATAAGTTAGTTAATCCTCCCATTTAGTAGATGAGGAAGATGAGGGCCAGAAGGAAGAAATAACTTATTAAGGCTACACATAATTTGGTGGTAATAGGATTGGGAGTCAGTTTCTAAGCCAACTAGAGTTCTTTCCTTCCCTCCAGGACTCCAGGTCAGAATAGAATGAAAGGAGTTATTCTACACTAACCAACATGAATTCTCTAAAACACTTAGCTAATTAATATTAATTAAATAAATAGCTAAGATATGTATGGATTTAGCTCATAAAAAAACAAAACGAACATAATCGCATCTTGTGCAGAAGAATGCTATTTTAACACGTGCCCTTATTATTTGAAGGACTTTTATTATACAACAAAGGCTTACATTTGAATACTAAAGTCAGTATTCATTTTAGATTAACTAAAATGAGATTAATTTCTTAGATTAACCTTAGTGTTTTTCAAATCATGGGTAGCAACCTATTATTAGGTCAGAAAATCATTTTACTAAGTCTGGGGCAAGCCTTTGAAAAAGAATAGGCTGGCCCCGCCAGAGCGGCTCAGCGGTTGAGCATCAACCTAGGATCCAGGAGATCCTGGTTCGATTCCTGTCAGGGCACATGCCCGGGTTTTGGGCTTGGTCCCCAGTGGTGGGCATGCAGGAGGCAGCCAATCAATGACTCTCTCATCATTGATGTTTCTCTCTCTCTCTCTCTCTCTCCCCCTCCCTCTCTCTGAAATCAATAAAAGACATATTAAAAAAAAAAAAAAAGAATAAGCTAGAAAATAGAGGATGTCACACATCTACCGGAAACTATGGTTTGAAGAAATGTTTTCAGTTGTATACACATGTTTATATGATATGTATTTTGCCATGACATAAAACATACATCACTCTGGAGATTACGGTCAAATCGTTTAAAAGCCACTTCAATTTACATTATTAGGGTAGAAAGTTACACCAGAAAAATATATTTTATGTTTTTAATGTGTTGAATAAAATTAAAAATTTTAATGTTATTGCAGTTTTCCATGTGGATAGCCATGTGAAGAACTAGAATAATTTTATATTTATTTAATCAGCACAACACTAAAACATTATGAATACATACACCTGAAGTAAAAATATGTATTTTTTAATATATGGCACTGACATAAACTGAATTTAAACTAGTGATTACCTCTAGAGAAAAGCAAAGGGCCAGTAGTGCCTTAGTTATATATGCTATTCTATTGCTCTATAAATGAAGAGAGCAGAATAGTGTAGAATAAGTTAAATTTTAACATCTATTAAATTTAGGTGGTAGGTTCCTGGGTTTCTATATTTCCTGTGTTTTTCTGTAATTTTTTATATTTATATACATCATATTTCTAATTCTATAATATAAAACTTTTAAAAATACACGTATTTTATTCCATTAACAGCATATATTTAAGACATTTAACTAATCATAATAGGTGCAAGGAATTTATGTATTACTAATTATCTTAATGACTATTCTTAATTTCTTAATATTTAAACATCAAAACTGAAGTATATTGCCTCACCAGCTTGGCTCAGTGGTTGAGCATCATCAACTCATGAGCCAGGAGGTGACAGTTCAATTCCTGGTCAGGGCACAAGTCTGGGTTTCAGGCTTGATCCCTGGTAGGGGGCATGCAGGAGGCAGCTGATCAATGACTCTCATCATTGATGTTTCTATTTCTCTCTCTCTGACTCCCTTCCTCTCTCTGAAATCAATAAAAAAAATTTGAAAAAAAGTATATTCAATTACTGTGATTTGACCCTGAATCCTCTCACAGCAGTGGCTGAATTGGTACCCACAAAATATGGGTACGCCCTGAGCTACAAGTCAGTGTAAAAAATTTCAAAAGCTACATGGAAGTATCCACACTCATACACACAGAGAGTTGTATTGTTAATACACGGCCTTAGCACTTCCAAATATATAATCTCATTTATACTGACATATTATTTGCTCAATTAATGATTTCTTCTGCCTCCACTCCAGTTCTTTCAGGATATGTCACTGTATTCTCTGCACCCACTCCTCTAATGCAAGCTGGAAAACAGTCACACATCCAGCCAGCTTTATAAAACAGTAACCAGATTGGAATTACTGAAAACATTTCACAGCCAGGCCACATTCAGAGCCTGGATGTTGGCTTCTTTTCTAACCTACTCTTTTGAAGTAAACAGTATAAACAGTACAGAGGATACCAGCATAAGATAATGTTTATCTGGGGACTTGAGATAAACCACTGGACCTGGGCTTTCATCCCCCCACTTCTCAAGCTTGTTCCCTCCAGTGTGCATCTTCACTCACCCCAACCTCAGGCTTATCTTCTTGCCATTAAACCAACCACATCACTCCTGTTCACCCCCATCCAGACTTCAGTAGTCCTATAGCCTCTTCCCTCGGACACAAACATTCTCCCCGAAGTCAGAGCATGGTGACTAAGTCTATTCTGCACTCTAATCGCCATGTAACTCTGCCTCCTTGCTTAGAAAATCATCAACAGAAAGAAACACACTTTATCCTTCAACTAAGCACAAAGCTGCCTCCCATCTCTGTACCTTCCACATAATTAGCACTGGATAGAGCATACAGAAACGCTTCCAGAGATGCAAATTAACAGAAAAAAATGAAGAAAAACTGGTAGTTATGGCCAAGGAACAGGAAGAATTCCCTAAACAAAGGAAGAAAACAATGTTATAAACAGAATTAAGTTCTGCCCTTACGATGGCATCACAGAGCTGAGCAAAAGTTTTCAAACATCATTTAAATAAAAGTAGAAATCTCTTTTTTAAAATAAAAAGTTTTTATTGAATTTTTAGAGAAAGGGAGGAGAGAGAGAAGCATTGATGTGAGAACCATCAATTGGCTGCCTCCTACTGGGGATCCAGCTCGAAACCCAGGCATGTGTCCTGATCCAAATTGGAACTGGTGACCCCTAGTGCATGGGACCAAGCCCAACCAACTGAGCCACAGCTTTAGTGATTTTCTTTAAATCCAGATAGGTACACATAAACAGTAATTTAGTTTACATTGAGCCAAGCAAGTTTCACAAATGAGAACTGGGATTTTATATATACAGATAGATAGGTATATATATTCTCTTTCTCTTTCTCTTTCTCTTTCTCTTTCTCTTTCTCTTTCTCTTTCTCTTTCTCTTTCTCTTTCTCTTTCTCTTTCTCTTTCTCTCTCTCATATATATATTCCATCCATTTTCCTTGAAGAGAAAGATGATTATCATTCTCTGTGGATCCCCCTAAATAAATGGCAAAGTATGCAAACACACTGATTCAACAAATATTTGCAGAGCACTATTTTGGATGAATAAGTCACTTCCAAGACATTAGGAGGTGGAGATGACAAATGGCAAATGAGAATATAATGTGATAAATGTTATAAAGACCTATAGAAAACTCTTTGAAGGTATAAACAATGGAGCAGTTATGCTTATTATAATTTGGAGGTAGGTTAAGGAGTGGGTGTTGTTAGATGGACAACATACAGAAACCCAGGCATAAAAACTGTGATACAGAAATTCACCAGGGCAGGAAGCCCCAGCTGCCTAGCAAGGGGCAAAAATGAAAAAATAAGAACCCTGTCCCCAGGGTAACCTATCCTCCTCTAGCATATCACTGGTCTGGTCGGGCAGTTTAGACCCCCTGAGCATTTCCTCCCTAAAGATATCATCTAGGCCTCAGTTGTATTTCAGCTCCAGGCCCAGAAAAGCAGTGAAACCAGACAAGTGGTGCCATAGTTGCCTCAGGATCAGCTACACTAAGTAATGACTCCTGCCCTGGCACCGACCAATCAGTGGATACTAGGACCCTGAAAAAGCACACCTGGAAAGCTGATGAATATTCTACTGAGATATTTCCGAGACCTCCCCTAAGATTTCCACCTCCAAGAAAAAGATAAATATTCTCAGGACAAAGGACCCAGTGCACACTCCCCACCAGGGGAGCAGGCCAGCAGCAACTATCTCCATCCCCCTTCTTCCCTCTGAGGGGAACCCACTAGACTTGCAACCAGGGGAGCAATGGGCAGTGGCAGCTCGTCCTGGGTTTATCAGCGGAACCTGTCTCCAAGGCCCCCTTCTCTCTCTGACTTCTCAGTGAGCCAAAGCAGCCCAGCCTATGTTCTCCTTTGCTTCTCCTACACTCTTCCTTGTTTCACAAGTATATTTTTGTACCATCANTTGCTTCTCCTAAACTCTTCCTTGTTTCACAAGTATATTTTTGTACCATCATGGACCCAATACCCTTTCCCTTTGGATAGCCCCATCCTCCATCCCCTTTTCCCTAAATAAATTCAATTTTTCTTAATTCACCGAGATGGCTATTTAGCCTGACTGTACACCACGGACCTTAACCTTTCAGATGTGACTTAGGGAGAACATATAGGGGCACCTTAAAGAGTTAAT